CTTTAGGTCCCCCCCCCCCCCCCCCCCCCTCAATTCGGAGGGGGGTAGCCCCCACATATTTGGGGAGTTTGACCTGTACAGAAAGAAAAGAGAGGTTCCCGGGGAGAAAATGAAAAAGAGGGGGTGTGACAGGGCAAATTTTGTAAAATTAAAAAACAGGAAAAAAACGTTCCCAATAATTGGGGAAAGAGGGGGGCCCCAAGGGCCCCTAGGGGCGGGGGATAAAATGGCCAAAAATTTTTTTTGGGTTTTGGGGCAAAAACTAAAAGAGCTCCCAAATTTGGGGGGTTTTTTTATTAGGGGTAGAAACGGTGTTCCTTCTCAAAAGGGACGGGGGTTCAAGGGTAAAAGGATTCCGCCAACCAAAAAAGGGGTCCCCCCCCCCCCCCCCCTCGGCCGACTTGCCTTTTTTTCCTACTGCCTCCAACGCAAGAAAGCTTATTAGGTTATTACGACAAAAGGCTAGGCACGGAGCACGCAGACCCAACTTGACCGAATCTATTGTTTATCTAATATGTTTTGCTGGCCGAGAAGAACCTGCGTAGACCACTTTTTTTTCAAGCCCTCCCAATTTGTCTCCATAGCAGACGAGGGAGGGCAGTCGCGAACTTCCGGAGTGCTGAACCCCTTTCTTTGTTTTTGCGCGGCGGCTGCTACATATGCGGGTGCGGCTCAGATCGAGTCGAGCGGTTACGACAGGACTCTGGAGTCGGCGGCGGCGATGGCGTTGGGGCTGTACCCGATGGGCCAGAACGACACCGACGTGGAGCAGAACTCGCTCCTCTGGATGGAACAGATCGTCGTCCCCATCCACTCTTCGAAGCCTCAAAACGATCGTGAGTGTGATGTGGGGGTACTCATGTTGTGCATGCCTTGGCGGTTAGACCAGTGACCTCGAGAGGACGGAGCAATTGTTCCCACAGGGGACGGTGTGCTCATAGCCGTGCATGCCGTAGTCGTTAGACCATTAACCTGGCATCCATACAACGCCGGGACGGAGCACGCCGGGTTCTCACCGGACCAGGCTCTCACATCACCAAGCGCGAAACGCAGTGAGATATGCTGTGGGGGGGTCGTGATTCTCACGTTCGGGGTATCATCCCTGAGGGGATAGAACGGCACACGGGTGGAGCAGAAGCTGTGGAACTATATATTATAGCAGATTTAATTCCCGATCACCTCTTCAAGGTCTCGAAACGATCGTAAGCGTCGCTGCCGTTTCGTGTTTGGTTGAAGACAGCGCGGGGGGGTAGGGGGAGGGGGGGGCATCGTCGTGATTTCACAAAGAGTAGTAGTAGTGGTGTGGGCCACCCCTCGAGACCATGTCTGTGATTCTGGGCTGCTGGAGGCCCGTGTCTCTTGGTGATTGTTCGGTGTGCGGGATGTGGAGACAGACGGCGGTGATGCATGCCACGGGCTTCACAAATGAAAGATCCAGGAAAAATCCTGGAACAATCTAGTGACGGTGTTGGTTGCCTGCCCCCCAAAAAGAATGAAATACTTGGGAGATCCTCGCTGTCGAATTTCGTTCTGTAGTACGTGTTTGCAAAATCTGTGCCCTGATGTTCTGCGTCCGTATGGCCCTTGCCGGTGATCACCCTCCCCCCCATCGCCTACCCAGAATTTCCGACTCTTTTTGCTCCGCCTGCTCCTGCGTGATGACTTTGCTATTATTGTTGTTGTTGTTGTTGTTGTGATCACTGCTGCTGCTCCTGCTTGTTGTCTCTATGCCGTCAAAATGGTTCCGGTGTTGATGCTGATGTGATCGGCGCCCTGTTGCTGCTGTTGGTGATGATCCTTGCTCTTGTTGTCCGTAGCATACATCACGGCTCACGACAAGTGTCCCGTGTACAACGCTAACTGGATACAGTCCTACGAGAAGGACGAGTTCCAAGAACTGCAGGTCTGGTCCAAAGAACGTTCTTTGAAAACGTGCATGTGCATGCATGTAACGGAAAGCAATACCAGGTCGAAGGGGTGCGTTGCATTCTTTCATACCGGTAGTTTTTTTGTTGGTCTGGTTCAGTTGAAGCATAGCGGAAGAGGCGTTTGTTCCATGCTTGTTTGTTTTACCTCGTCGAGCGGGGCGCTCGGAGTTCCACGAGTGGCATATTCACGTAGCAGACTAATATTTCCCAGAACGCGAGGTATAGGGTCGTTTCTGATTTATTCTCCCGTCGGACACAAGTTATTTTTGTGTGTGCCAAGAATGCCGACAACTCCATACTTGGCCTGAAAACGCCGACAATGAATGGCACCCCCGACCCTTCGCTTCTGTTCCAACCTATTTTTTGCGGGCCCTTGGCTTCTGCTCCAACTCATCTTTCTGTGTGAATGTGTGTCCAGCGCGTGGCGAGCGCGGAGCAGGAGGATGGGGCGGACGGGTTCATCACCCAGGTATACAACATCTTCGACGAGTATCGCGGTGCTAACGACGACCCGGACTGCTGGGACGAGGTCATCGCGTTCAAGCTGGTGAGGGACTCAAGTGATAGCGCTACTCGTAGGTAGATGAGGGGGGGAGGCGTTGGGAAGATTTCCCGGGCTCCGTTGTAGTTGCACTTGATAACGTAGCGCGGAAGCTGCGAGAAGTAGGGGAGAGGCAAGACGGAGTGACGATGTTCCCGCTTCAATTGAGGTGGTACTTGCGGGAGGTGTGATCATGCGGAGAAGAGAGTAGGCCGGCACACTATGGATTGTTGTTTGGATTTAGAAGACATGTTTTTTTTTCATGTCTCGAGCACGTCGGGCATGCTGCTGTGGTTGCTGGATTTGGGCGTGCTTATTGTGCATCTGTGGCCGCTGGCCGTCAAGTTAGCTGTTGAGCTCGAATACCGTACAACATGGTTGTTGACGGGTTTCCGTGGGTTTCCTCCTCGTGCTCTACCCACGGGACAGTTGACCGTACAATTCACAGGGTTGATGGAACGCCAACACCACAAACTTTGAAATGGGCGTGGTTGCGTAGTTTTGTCGCACGATAGCGATTTGACACTTGTTTCCGCGATTGGAGGTGTCTGTGCACCGGTACAGCGACACGCAACGATAACACACATTCCATGTTGGGCCCAGCATCAAAAAAATCACGTTCTACACCGATGGTCAATTTCGGCTGTCTCTTTGCCCCTTGGAGGTGTTGGCCATGTTTCCTAGAAATCTGAATGTTGGTGTTCGAATTTATCATGTGGCAACCCTTTCTGTGGCAATATTGAGCCACACCCACCCAACCATGGTCCCCCTGGGACCACCAACCTTTCATGTGGAGACTAAGAATTTAACATGTTTGAAATTAGAGATGTCCGAAAGTTCTGCCGAGCAGTGAGTGGTACAGAATGTGGGATGGATGTCCATTCCATTTTGACCGAAAAAGAAGGGCACAGATCGTCCAGTCGGGGCACAAGTTGCATGGTATCCGATTTCCTTTCTATTTGTTTCTAGAACGGAAGGCAACTCTCTTCCAGTCCTAAAGACGTACATGTCTGACACGCACCAAACCAGCTGTTTTATCTGAACAAGGTGCGGCTGCATTGTGTGCTTTGGTGTAATAAAGAAACACACACGTTCCTTTCCACCATGTGCTTTGGTGAATTGTAGAAACACACACGTTTCTTTCGGAGTTTGCAAGCCCTGAGGTGCTAAAGTACCCGAATGTAGTATGTCGATGCCGATGGTCATTTGCTTTTTTACTTATTTTTTTTTGTCTTGGAACCTGCAGGACCAACTGGAGCTGCACGCCCCTTACAACCTGTGGGATTGCGCGAGGACTCTGTTGGCGGCAGGACAGGACCAGACCGTGAACTTCATCAATGCTGCGACGATACCCACCGACTTCTCGGAGCAGTACCCGGATATCATCGATGGGTGAGTGGAAGCGGCAAGAGGGGCGTGGTGGCGGCAGAGACACAGACAACAGCAATGGACGGACAGAGAGCTATTTTAACATAGTGGGGAAGATGGCGTCTTTGGGTGTCTTTGCATGTTTATTGGAATCGTACATACACCTTTACTTTTTTGTTTCCTGGGCAGCCGGTCAGACGAAAAAAGACAAGAAAGTTGGTCAGCACTGCCTTCCACCTCTGCTTCATCTGACGGAAAATATACAGTAGCCGCTGAAACAGGGGTGTGTGTGTGTGCTCATAGTCGTGCTTGCCGTAGTCGTTAAACAAGGGGGGGGGCGGCGCATAGGAACCGCAGAACACCCTTGCCAGTTGTTTACTTGCACCTATGCTCAGCACTTACAGCAGTACGGTGATGTTAGGGCACAGAGCAAGAATATCGACGGAGTTTTTTTTTTCACGAATTACTTTTATGTCAGCGATTCCATTTTCATAGAAGTTCTGGCGGGTGGGAGCTCCGATCCGATCCGCGGTCACACGGAAGGGTTGCTCTCCCTGAGTCTACACCGTTTTTTGAAGTAGAAAATGATAGATAACGATGGTGTGGCCCCGTCTTTGACTTTGATAGTGCTTCGAGGCGTTGATAGGCACGCGTGCGCAGTTATTTTTTTGCTCGCTTGTTCACAATTCGATGAAGATGGGAGGCTCTTGGTGCATCTTTTTTGTGCCTGCCGCGGGCCCTGTACCTTCCGATGTCCTCATGGACGTTGTAGCCGTCAATGCGCTCGTGGATGTTGTACCTTCCATCGTTCTCATGGACCCTGTACCTTCCATTGCCCTCCTGGATGAAGTACCTTCCATCGTCCTCATGGGCGCTGTACCTTCCATTGTCCTCATGGGCGCTGTACCTTCCATTATCCTCATGGACGCTGTACCTTCCATTATCCTCATGGACGCCATACCTTCCATTGTCCTCATGGGCGCTGTACCTTCCATTATCCTCATGGACGCTGTACCTTCCATCATCCTCATGGACGCTGTACCTTCCATTGTCCTCATGGACGCCATACCTTCCATTGTCCTCATGGCCGCCAGGCGCTGTACCTTACAATGTCTTCGCGGACGCTGTACCCTCCGATGTCCTCAGGTGGCTGTACCTTGGGTGGCTTGTGGACGAGGTGGAAGACATGAAGTACGAGCAAGACGTCGTCGGCCGCTACGCTGCAGGCCCCTACCTCACTGAGTGAGTGCCGTCGTGTTGCAGTCAGTTCCTGTTGATGTTGCTGTTGCTGTTGGTGGTGCTGTTGCTGTGCCGACGCTGCTGTTGATGTTTCGTGATGGTGATACTGTCGCTGTTGCCTGCGTTGCTGCGGGTGTTGTTGTAATGTTTTAGTGGAAGGTGCTGTGAGGCGAAGTCGTCGTTATCGTAATTTCAAGGAGCCGCTATTAATAGTAGCTATTGTTGTTGGTGGTGTTGGTGGTGGTGGTGGGGATTTTGCGTTATTGTGCAGGTGAACCGTCTGTGGCGCCTTGAACGTGCATGCATGCATGCTTCCAGCAATCAAAGGGTGCTGGAAATCACGCAGTTTTGCGTGGTACCCGTATCTCACCCTGTCCGGTGATTCCAGCACTAGATACATATCTACGGAGATCTAGGGTGTTTCGTGTATGCATCATGTTGGAATGTTGTGTTGGGTGAGGGCTGCTTATCGTCAGAGACTGCAGATAAAGGTTTGGCTCAGGACCTCGGTTACTAGCGAGTGTGCAGGGCATGCCCTAGATCACGGTAGATCCTTATGTAGTGCTGAATACACCAAACACGCCCGATCTAGATACAATACAACCCCTCCCTTGGGTCTTCGAGAATACACTGCCTGAACAACCCCCCACGGTGTTTGCCATCGGGGTTGGGTTTTCGTCGCTTGACAACGACGTTGTAAAACAAGCCGCCCCCCCCGGTGTTTGCCATCGGGATTGGGTTTCGTCACTTGGCAATGACGTTGTAAAACCAGCCCCCCCCCTCGGTGTTTGCCATCGGGGTTGGGTTTTCGTCGCTTGGCAACGACGTTGTAAAACAAGCCGATTCACTTCGTGAACTCGGCAACCAGGTTACCGTTTTTTTTTTTTTACCTCTGTTTTTTTTTTGCGGTAACCATGAATGGTGGTCGAGTAGATCATGTTGTGCGGGGTGGAGAACCCTCACTCCGCGCAAGGGGGATGATCGCACCACGTTGTGTTAAAATGGTCAAGCATCCTCGAGGCAGCTACACAGTGCTTACAAACTGTCTCTGGAAGTGAAAGGACCAAAAATAAATTAAGTCATACGCAGCTGTCATCCGTACGCAAGGAAGTGAGCACAAGATGCCGAACACCCTTAGCAGGATGCAGCTCACCCTTCATGCGACTCGCCAAATACCTCACGGCGCTTCGCGCTTGGTGATGTGAGAGCCTGGTCCGGTGAGAACCCGGCGTGCTCCGTCCCGGCTTTGTAGGGATGCGAGGTCAATGGTCTAACGACTACGGCATGCACGACTATGAGTACCCCCCCCCCCCCCCGGTCTGTTGCTCCAGAATGAACCTCCGCATGTCACAGGTGATCGAGCACGTGCGCAGCGGCTACATGAGCAACGTGGGCCGCTTCCCCGGGATGCACATCACGTCCGGTCACTACGGAACTCTCAAGGGCATCGCCGGGGCTCTCGACATCGACGCTATCGATGGCATTCCTGAGTGAGTTTGTTGTCGCAAGAGGCTTTGGTGTTTTTTTACGGTGTTCATGTGTGTATTGGCGACAGTTTTTGCGCCAATCCTTGTTCTTGCTTTGGACGTTACAACCTCACAACATCACTTCTGTTTTTTTGTTTAACGCCAAACATTTTTCTTGCTGCGGACGCCTCAATACGGTGGGGGGGTCGATGTTTAGTGCCGGTTGAATAGCGTCAATGCCCGGTATAGTGCCGTTGAATTTTCCGGGCACAATTTTCCGGGTACATACCGGCACTATTCAGGGAACACCACTGTAGCACTTATTTTTCTTCGCGAATCCTTGTCCTGGCTGTGAACATTACAACGTCTTTTGTTTTTGTGAATCCTTGCCCTTGCTGTGGACGATACATTTTTTTGTTTTGTTTTGTCTTCACTTCAAATCCGCGCTCACGGCACCTGTGCTGTTTACTCTTGACCTGTGGTACCACAGAAGGGCTCAATAGCACTTGTTTTTTGGTGAATCCTTGTTGTTGGCGTGGGCACAGGTACGCTTCCCACTTTGCGTTCGAGCTCCTGTACAACGGATCTGCCAACCATCTGGCGGAGGAGGAAGACTTCGCGATCCGAATCATGTACCAGGATGGGTGAGCTGTTCTTGTCTTACCCTTGCTCCTTGTATAAGCAGCAGCTCTGTGTGTGGGTGCTGATCATGCTGATGTAGCGATCGGAATCATGTTGAAAGACGGGCGAGCTGCTGTTGTGTTGCCCTTCCTCCTTGTCGGACGTGTGGTGTGTGGTGCTCATCGTGCTGACGCAGCGATCAGAATCATGTTCCAAGATGGGTGAGCTGTTGCTGTCTTTGTTGATAGTTGTAGCTCTCGCGTTGTGGAAGCTTGTCGTTCTGTCTTCGAATCGTTTTCCAAGACGGCCGAGCTGATGTCTCAAGATTGGTCCGTGCGTGGCAGCTAGTGTGTGAGGATGCTCGTCGTCCTTGTTGTGGCGTTCCCACTCTGTGTATCACACGGCAGGGAGAAGGGGTAGTGATATGCACGAGGTATTCATGGTGTGGCGTTTTTTTTTTCACTGTAGCTGTTGTTGTCGGTGTGGATTTTTGGAGCTGGTGTTGCTGTGGTCGGGGTTGTATTTTTGGACAAGAGGACCGGGCTCCCTAGCCCCCCCCAGTCTTCCGTATGCCCCCCCTCCATCCTTACTGTCCTATTCTGCGGTACCCCCTGTCCCTCACCCTCCTGCTACATGCACAACCCTCCACCCCCAAACCTTGTCGTCAACTTCGGAAAAAGTTCGAGCACCAGCGACCTGAACTTCGCCGTCATGGGCCAAGTGTACGATGGGTCTGGGTCCATCTCCGACTTCGACGAAGAGCTGTCGACGATGAGAGACTACAACACGGGCATCATGGGGTGGACCCAGTGGGACTACCTCATGGACTACCAAAACGCGGGGAAACCTGTTGTGTACGAATCCGTCGAGGAGTGGTGAGCACAAGAAATATTTTTAGAAAATATACGTTCAACACACAGAGACTATCCGTTCGGGATGCATCCACAGCAGTCGAAGGGGATGTGTTGGAATCTTTATAGTGAATGGGACGAGAAAACCGGCTGGATACCTTTTGTTTGTTCTGACGGTATCATTCTGCGTTTGAAGGAGGCGTCATGTACGACTAAACAGTTAACAAGATTTTTTTTGTTGCTTTGTCGTTACAACTTTCTCTTGTTTGGGAGGACAAGAGGGAAATCCGGGTTCCCAGCAAGGGGTCCCGCCGAAATCGCAAATTTGTTCACACCCCCCCCCCCCCGCTCCTGCGAATTTCGCACACACGCCCGCCCCACGCTCTGGCAAAGTAGGAAGACACGATTGGCCATCGGTGATCGGTCCTGTGGGAACCTTGCTCCGTCCTCTCGAGGCCGCTAAGGCATGTAAAGAAAAGAGTACCTCCCCCCCCGCCCCGCCCCCCCCGCCCCGCCCGCCCTGCAGGTGCCTGGACTGTCTTGCCACCGCTCCCGACACTTGCATTTCCCAGGAGCTAGAGCTGATGACACAGCAGTGGGAGGAGGCTAGCGTTCAGGCTGAACAGGCGACGGCGGATTTCGAGGAGGCGGACGACGGTATCGGAGGCAAGTACATGTAGGACACGTCAAGATACTACCCCCCTACAGGTATCGGAAGCAAGCAACTGCTGTAGCATACGTGAGGTACAACACGCACACACAGGCATCGGGCGCAAGAAACTACTGTGGGACACGTAAGATTCACATCCCCCGGGTATCAGAATTAAGAAACAACAGCAGTAGGACGCGACATACAACACGCACACACAGGTATCGGACGTAACAATTATGCTATAGGACACGAAGTATACCACATCCCCCCAGGTATCGGAAGTAAGGAATAGATAAGGCGGCCGCACTAGCGAACCTCTATTAATATCAATAGTTTTGGCCGGGGGTGGGTTTCTTACCGTATTCCTGGGGTCATGCTACGAATGACCGCTATATAGTTTTTTGTGTAGGGGTTCTTCGCTGGGCTCAATGGTGCTACAGTTCTTGAAATTTCAGTTTCTTTTAGGCTCTATCAATTTACTCATTAACTGCCAAGTTGTTCAGCGGGCGCTGTGGTGCTGTAGGACACGTAAGATACCACGCCCTCCTAGGACCGAACTTGAGGCCCTGTTACTCCACGACAACGAGCATGCCAAAATCTCTCGACCAGACTGTTGTAACGCCGGCATTTTTTTAGTGCAGTTTCTGTTGTTTGCTGCGGAGTTTGGAGTCGGCCTTCGAAAATCGATCTCAAGGCGCGTGGCGTGTTGTGCGACGTACGCAGTAGCCAGCCAGACCATGCCTGCCGCTGCTGTTGAGAGGTGTTGATGTTCCGCCGACCTGTGCACTGTGGAGCGCTTTCGGGACGAACCTTTGTTTTTTGCCCCCCATGCCATCAAGGGTGTCTTGTGTATGGTTGTTTCCGTCCAGAGTTCGGGTGCTCGCTTTTCAGGCTGCTAGCCCTTTCTGGGAGGAGTTTTTCGCGCTGCCCACCCCTCAAACGTGTCCTTAGCTTCCCGCGGAGGAGTTAGAGTGTCCTCTTTACATTGCGGAGCACTTCCGGGGTACAGTCGTGGCTGCGATATAGCAGGGTGGTGTGGCAAAGGCCCTCGACCCTGTTGTTCGACCCTGTTATGTCGGAGCTCCCTCTTATATCGGAATAAGAGAATACTCAGCTATATTCTATAGAGGTTCGAGTCCTTGAAAACCGAATTCGACCCTCTTAGATCGGAGCCCCGGCATTAGAGGAGAGTCAACTATACCGTAGAGGAATCGAGTCCGTGACAATCGATTTCGACCGTTTAATATCGGAGCCCCCTCTTATCCAGTACCCTCTTGCGTTGGAGCCCCTTCTTGTACGGTACCTCTTGTATCGGACGCATGACTGTATTAGTGTTTTGCTTCCCCCGGCCTTAAACATGTACTGCCGTACGGCTTCCGTTCCGTTAATATTGATGCAGGCGTCCACGTTGCCCTCTTGAGCATCTTCGGAGTGGTCCTGGGCATCGGCATCGGCATCTGCATCAAGCCCTGCGTGGACCGGCACAACAACAAGCTCAAGAAGAATAGCCAAGCGTCCACCATCTCGGGGGACCGCGGGCTGGAGGCGTGGTCTTCTGCCGCCAACAGGTGGGAGGGGAGGGATGCCGTTCGGTGTTTGTTGCTGGCGGTTTATTGTTGGTCGTTGCTTTTGGAAGCCGAAATCAAACAACTAGACTAGTCAGCTTCTGCGTGCTGCTGGTGCTGGTGTCATTGTTGGCGTTTTGCTGTTGGTCGTCCCTTCAGGTGCCGAAATAGCACATATATATTTCGGGTTCTACATCACCCTCCTGCACGTATAGTCGTCCATGCATGGCATTGTCAAGCACCGTTTGTGTATTTTTCAAAAATGAATGTAGATATGTAGATCTTCGCGCCACCCTCTTTGCTTTCTAGTCAAAATACCAAACACGAAGCAGAAACGAGAATACATAAGTCCCGTCAGACTTGTTGTGCTTCACTCGCTGTTTTACTAGTCAACTAGTATGTGCGGCGAGAATGCGTTTGTTAAGGATGATGTGTCCCCTTTGCGCGCGAGTGCGTATTATGAAGGCCTTACATTTTCGATGTTTCCCATGTGGTAAGCGCTTGTAGAGGTTAAGTCAAGATGAACGCACGAACCCGTCTGCAAGAAGCATGACTCTTAACGCCGTTGTAATATCCCGTGTCCCGTGCTCAAAACCGGTACGGTACATTCCCGCAGCCACAACGGAAGCTTCCGGCTCGGGGCTAAGCACACCCCCACCCGGCAAGTCGGAGGCAACCGCATGATGGCCGTGCCGTCGGCACCAGACGACGACATGGATAACTCGGCACGGATGGGTGGCGGCGCTAACGGTGCCTACGCCAACGGGAACGGTAGCGGCCAGTACGACGTCGAAGAAGACGTGGCCCCTGGGTGAGGAGAACGCCGAATATATATTGTTTTTTAATGGGTTGGGTCGATATGGATGGATGTGTGAGAGTCAACGTGCGTTTCTGGTTGAGATCTGTCTTCTCTTCCAGCCACGTTTTTTGCTGTTGTGCAATCCGAGTAAGCGACAAAAGTGTACGTCATGCAACACTGCTTGACGGAATCGTTGCTATTCATATTGAGTTTTTTCTGGACTCTTTTTCTGTGAAAAGACGTCATGCAACACTGCTTGATGGAATCGTTGCTATTCATGTATGTAGTTTTTTCTAGACTCTTTTTCTGTGAAAAGAGATGAGTTGGGTCTTTTGTGACTGTAAGAAATGAAGAAAATGCCAAGCGTTTGACAATGACGTTTCACCGCAGAATTACTGTCGGCTGTAGTCGATGTGTTTTGTACCAAGTTTCTGTCTCTCTTCTCTAGGGGCTCTAGTGTAAGGGTCACGCGTGTATTTCTGACGCCCAAACGGTGGCGGGTAGGGGGTCGAAACGTTCTGATGTGGTGAGGAGGCCGCCCGCCCTTAACAGACGGTCTTAACAGTGGTTGGTCTGTTGTTGGCGTTGATGATGGTCATGGCGTACTCCTTTAGGGGCCTTTTCATTTTTTGACTGGTCTCCGTCGTCCTTCGTTCTCCCCTTTTTTTTTTTCTTCAGGATCCCCGAGTTCGCACCGACCTCGGCGCTGGGCGAGCCGGTTCCGTTCCCGCACAAGTAAGGGCATGTGTTTTTGTGGTGTCGTGCGGTGTGGCGTTGCCGTACGCTTTGCTGGTCCGGGTCTCTGAAGTGCTCTCTCTCTCTCTCTCTCTCTCTCTCTCTCTCTCTATCTATCTATCTCTCTCCGCTGGGAGCATGGTAACGTTGTGTCACACGCAAATATACGTGTCGATGATGAAATGAGAGAGCGAGGCCCTCGTCTCCACTCCGTGGAGGTGTGGACATGAAGGGGGCGCTGTTGAATCTGTGAAGCAGGCGAGCACGCCGACCCAACACCGCTCTCTATCGCTGAAATCCGCGGTGGGGAAAGGCGGGATAAATTGCACCCTGCCTGTGATAGACGGTGGAGACAAACAATCGACGGAAATAGGCCAGGTGTCGTGGAGTCGGTCTTGGCCTGAGGCGTAAACGCGTGTTGACAGCAGTGCATAGACGACCACGAAGTTGAATTTTTGTTGGGCCTGTTATTTTCTGGAAAGGGGGTTGTCACCATCTTCTCCGTCTTTTGTACGAGAGCAAGTAGAAGCACAAGTTACGACACTCGCTCGCTCTCGCTCGCTAGACTGTCCTGGGCTTGATGATTGAATTCATGGTCCGATAAAGCTCTTTGCTTCCTTGTGGGAGATACCGTTGGTTGCAAAAGGCACCTCCCCCCCCCCCCCCCCCCCCCCGCGGGACCCGATTTTCGGAGCCTTAACTGCTCCACGGCGCGGAGGAGCAAGAATTCAATGATTCGCATGTTTTGGGCAAGGTCTCAAACCGGCGGCTCCAACCCCCGCCATTCTCGGAGCCGTGGATGTTTTCGCACTCGGTGCAGGGGGCTGTGGTATATTACGTATGCAACCTGCGGTAAACTTGACGAGGCGTGGCCGAAATACGTCGGCGGTGCGCACGGTTCGGTATACACACGCCCTCAGCTTTCTACTGTAGTACGTAGGTATACGCACGCCCTCAGCTTTCTACTGCAGTACTTAGGTATATGCACACCCTCAGACTTCTACTGTAGCGGTCATGCATGCTTATGTGCCCCCCTTCCTCCCTCCCCTCCCGTCCTCATGCTTGTGGTGGTTCAAAGGCGGCAAGCATCGGGAATGGTTTCCGGTGTGGACTCGAGCATGATGTCAGGCATCGACGCCGAGGACGTAGACGACGATGACGTCGCGGGAGGCGGCACTTCGCGTGAGTTGCTCCACTTCCAGTAACAAGGCCCGCCCGACACGCTCGCGCGAACAAAAAAAACGAAAAAAAAAAAACGTAACGAAAATGTAGATTACCCTACTCCACCACCACTCCATACCCCCCGGCACGCGACGAAAGCGACACAGCACGAAATCTCAAAAAGCGGAGATCGTGCGAGAGGACGAAGGCCCTTCGGCATGGGACGATCGTGCGCGCTCTCTCTCTCTCTCTCCCTCTCTGTCTCTCCGTCTCTCCCCGCTTGAGCTATCCCGCTGCTGCTGGTGGTGCTTCTGCTGCCGCTGCGCTACTCTCGAGCGAGCGATAGGGAGCGCACTTCGGGTAGTGGGCGGGCGGCTAGTGCCAATTTTTGGTTTTTTGCTCGCCCGTTCGGTTTCTTTGGTGTCGTTCGAGTAGGCGTTCTGTTGGAGGGGCTGGGGGCCAGCAGATCGCACCATAGGTAAGGGTGGCATCAATCGTTTGTTATTGTTCCTTGTGGCTTTCGGCATGGGTATGGCGATGTTCGTCGATCCCCGCCCCCCGACTTTTGAGATCTCCGCTACAGAGAGAGAGAGAGAGAGCGAATAGCGTTCGAAAGATTATAGTAGCGTGGTATGTGTCCGTTTCTTGCTTTGTCGCGATGGGTTATGGGGGAACTGCAGCGGTAGGCGCGTAGTACGATGCAGGAAGGGGTTGTTGATTGGTGCGGTATTCAGGTTTGACCGCTGTTGGTTTCGGGGTTGTTTTTTCGTCCCCCAGCCTCCCGTGTTTTTCTGTCCTTCTACGGGTTCTGTCGTAGGTCGTAGGCTTACTGCTGTTGTGTTACCATCAACTGGTTTGTCCCTTACACCTGGCAGCCAAGATTTATTCGTGTTTTGGGACACTGGAACTGCTCATTCATCTGTGTCAGAAACCATCTAACTCGAAGTGTTGTGCTGGAGCGTCAGGGATGATGACAAGGCAGAGATAGAAGCAGCCGATGGCGCGCGCGCGCGGGGGGGGGGGGGGTATGCGGAGTGGAACATGTGTGTTTTCTGTAGTGGGTTTTGAAGCGTGTTGCGTTCATGGAATCACTTTCCGTCTGTATCTGAGGTTACCGGCCTGTGGTATCGGCCCGTCAAGTGGTTCAACCGCAAAATATCTGGAACACAACTGCGGTAGTAATCTAGTAGTTGCGGCCGCATTTTCGGTGGACGACACACGTCAACAGCCTTACCTTTCCTTGGCTGGGTTCTTCGATTATGTAGACATGTTGGACAAGCGTGCAATCGGGGAGGTTGGGTTAGGGATAGCATTAAGGACTTTGAGGGTCTGCGTACCCCCTTCCTCTTGTAGTTCCTCATATTATCAAACTTAGTTTTTCGCGAAGGCCATCCACACAGGTGGAGTAATCAAGCTGTCGCGTGCTCTCAATAGTGCCGGGTGCTTGATACATGGCCGGCCAACTGCCTTGCCATTGTTAGGCCTTGGGTCTTGTTCAGCCTTGTACAATACAGGACCCCTAGGGTATTAGAGGCGATTTGGTTTTGATATCCGCCGTATCTGCTTGTTGTCTTTTGATATCTCGTGTTGAGGTGCCGAGTCAGCGAGTCTTTTGAGACGGATCGCACGGGATCACGACTTACAGGTGGCTGCACCGGTCTCACCACAGCACACACCATGACAAATTTTTCTTGTTGGCAACACTCTCGCGGAAGAGATGTACTTGCATGCATGATTTTGTTTTTTATGGCCTTCGCGGATTGGGAGACTGTTGATGTTTCTTTCAGGGTGGTTGTCTCGCCCCTTTGGGCGAAATGATTGAAGCGGGGATTGGGGGACTGCGAGTAACTCCATGGTAAGCAAAGAAATAAGGGTTTGTGACCGTTTCTGCCCCGCATGATGTACACCGTGGTAGAACTGAAGGAATCGCCGTCAAGAGGATGGTTGGGACCAAGGACAGCGCGCGTTTGTGATAATCTTGCGAGCGTTTTGTCGCCACCGAGGAAGAAGAAGCGGGAAGTCTTTCTCGACGAGTTTTTAGGTGCGCGTTTTGCTTGTTGTTGACGTTTTCCCGAGAGGGGATGGCCCCCTTTTGCCCCCCCCCCCCCCCTCCTTAAAGCCCCGTCGGAGATAAGGCGTGTTTCCGCGTCTAGGGCAGCAGCTGTTGAGACACCTTGAGGCGAGAAGGGATAACTTTGATTTCCTGCGGGAAGCGGGTTTACATTGTAGCTGCGACGTTTCTCTCCACATCACTGCGGTGATTGTGCGAGGGTGGGGGGGAGACCGGACGCGACGTTCCTTGTCAATGGTCAACGGGCGTCGTGCTCCGAATCAGTTGTGGACCGAACAGCGTATCACTGTTCTGGTTGATGTGCCGTTTTGCCAGAACGGTCGGTCATGCGCATCCCCTGCTGCGTCCTGCTTGAGGCGATCTCTGCTGTGGCTAATCTCGCGAAAGAGCTTTTTTTGGAGTTGAGTTGAGCAGCAGCGGCCGCCGTCGTAGTTTGGCTCTCCGTCACGGCACTTGCTGACGAGAAGAATCGTCCTTCGTTTCCCCGTCGAGAATAGAACGGCTCCCGCATGACCGACTGGGAGCGGTTGCCCGTGCGTGCAAAGAAGAGTCGCTCTATTTTTTTCTTTTGTGGTCTTGAGGGTCACCCCCGTTCCTCCTTCGTGAATCGTGTTTCTCGGCATGCCAGCGTTGGGCCCGATTTGTCTCCGTGCTGTCGACTGTTTTTTGTTGTTGTTGTTGTTGTGATAGGCGCGTCCAAGGCGATGTCGGCGCTCGCCTCGTTGTGCCTTCCTTTCCCGTGAGTTCCCTTTTTGGTCCCTCGAGTGTCTCGTCGTGAACATGCGGGCGCGGAAGGTGGGGAAAGTTGGGGGAATAGTGTCGGGGGTGGTGAGGTGGTCTATTGGAGCGGCCCAACCAGCAACGGAGAAGAGCGTGTGTACGTGGATGTAAGTATTAAGTCGGTAGGGGGGGCGGGGGGTCGTCGTCACAGTGTTTCCGGGGTGGTGTGTTGAGTTATTGTTAAAGATGGTGTCCTTTTTTGTTTCTCGCATTTGGACCTGTCCGCGTTGAGCTTGGGCACTCGCCTCTTACACACGGCGGGATTGCAGTACGTTAGCCGAGGATCGGCTGCCGTGAGTGACGAAGATGAATGGTAACCGAATAAAGAATATCCGTGTATGGAGAATGACCTTCGAATTGTATCTGCACTGATTTTTGACGAAAAGACACCAGGCGCCCTCCGGCTTTAGTTTGGCTGGATGAGGCATGCTTGTTGCGCGAGGGCTGCAAGCAATGGGCCACCCCCGTTCCAACGCCGATCCGACAGACATTTCTTGAAGTCTGCAGTTTTTTTGTTCTCTGCTCCTTCACAATATCCTCGCTGTGTTTTGTTTTAGAAACCGCACGGAAGGCGCGTTCTCTCCATCTTGTTTTTTCACTTTTGGACAAGGCAAATGGGCTATCCCCTCATCCAGACCACGGGCGGTCGAGAATTGCAAGATCAGTGTTTGAACGGCCACCCTGCTCGAAGTTGTTGGCCTGAGTGGATGAGAGGCTGTGCTCTTTTTCTCGTAGGCAGCAGGCAAGCAACGGGCCATTCACTGTCCCTTCCAAACGCCGCTCAACAAGAAAGCGTGGCGGAGTGTTTCCCCTCAAAGAAGTGGCTAGACAGCGCCTTTCTTTCTGTCCCCGCTCCTTGAGGTCGATTCTCTCTTTTCTCTCTCCCACGCTCGCTCGCGAGATTGCAGTCAGCAATGGGGCCGAGACGTCCCTTCCATCGCCGTTCGTGTTACGATACTACACTTTCTTTGCGGTTTTTGGAGGAACGAACGCCGAGTAAAAGAGGGGTTGGGTTGTCTCTCTGTTGTTCACCGCCGGTTCTGTGCGAAACGACAAAGTGTTTCGCTTCACGCGTCTGTGTGCTCAGCGCCGCCGGACGGGAAACCGCCAGCAACGGGCCCAAAGCCCTTCCAAACGCGGTTCGTCCCATACCGTACAGTTTCCGGCTGTGTGCTCTTGTTCTTAGCCGTTCTTCTGATCATGCCTTCGGTACTAATAGTGACCGGGATGTTTCTGATGTTCCTCCTCGTATTTCCGCCTTTTGGCTTGTGTGTGTCGTTTTTTTGCACCGGGAGAAGAAGAGAAACGCCTCTTCTTAGTGCGTGTGGTGGCGCACCGTCTCGGAGCTTGGGACTGTTCACTCTTTACTCTTTCGTTCGTTCTAGCGGTTTCTGTAGGCACACCTGCCGTGCTTGGGGGTGGTGGAGGTTGTTCGCGATCGTGTTTCTGACCAGCAGTCAGTGCGTCCTCTTATAGTGTGTGTGTGTGTGTGTTTGTGTTTCCGTGGAGTGCGTGCGAGCTTCCCGTGAAGAGGTCGGTAGCTTCGAGCGTCCTCGCCCGCCAGCCGGCCGTTCTCTGTCACGCCTGCAGCAGCAACAGCAGCTCTGCATCATCCAACCGGATAGAACTCTGTTGTCTGTCTCCCTTTTGGGGCGGGGTTGCACGTTTGTTTCTGGGGACAGGACGATATTCCGTGGAATCACTTTCACTACTGTACCATGTAGAATATCGTCGACCGCTCTGATTGAGATATTATGGAGGTCGAAAACGTGTGCCCGTACGTGACGAAGCGCGCACGCCGACGTGGTGTTGTATTCTGAGAGATCTACTTCAACTAGTTACTCTGCCCGAAGAAACATAATCTTTCCATTCCGCCCCCCTTACCCCTACCCCCGCCGCCCCTCCCGTGCTTGCAACCTTTCCACCCCCTCGTTGTCAACACCGCTGCGTTCCAGGTAAAGGAAAAGCGGGGTCCTCTGACGTCACCACGACCAGGACCAAGATCGATACAGGTGAGACAGCGAGCAACGCAGTCAATGTGGTCCGACTCTGTGCGCGGCGCGTAGCTACATCCGGAAGCGGTAGCAGATATAGCGTGTTTCATTACAAGTGCTACACCTATGACAGCGCCTTGCTCCGACAACAGAGTCATTGCAGGTGGTGGCGGGGGTGGTTTGATTATTTCCCGTTGCTACTACTGATGGCAATCCGCGCCGTATCTACTCCGGTCGAGCTCTTGTAGGATAGGTCCATGATTCCGCTTGGGCCCTTCCGGCGAACCACTGAAGCCCAAAACGACGACCAAAACACGGAGTGAAAAATTGTTCGACCCTACCTCCGTGGTGATATGATGCTCCAGTACTCGTCGTGATGCTCCGCGCCGATCGATGTGATTATGTTCTGGGGGAGAGAGGTTCCCCCTCCCCCCTCCACAACTTTTTTCTAGACCCCTCGCCGGTCTTAGCCGAAAGAGTGCTGCCCTTGTTTGACCTCCTCGTCCCATTAGTACAATACAGGTAACAGTAGTTCCCCTTTCTTCGCTTGAGTAAAGATGCCCGCCTTCATCACACTCCGACCCTCCCGTGCGATTGGCACAAAACATGCCGTTCCTCAGTTTGTACGCTTGTCGACCAACGCCCGCCCTCGCACTACCCTACCCTGTCCACCTTCTTCCCCCATCCAGTCGAAGAGGAGCCTGCTACGGGCGAGGCTCAGCCAGAAGGAACCGCTCCGATTGTGTAGTGTGCCTGCCGCCTGCCTGTTGTTGTAGCGGAACGCAAACCCAGGTCCCTTGACGTTCATTTTGTAGTCGACTTGGTCATTCGCGATTGATTATGCTTCTGCTAATTTTGGCGGTGTGAGTCGTCCTAAAGAAGGTGTCATCCTAGGGAAGTCATTTTTACTCGGCGCGCGTGCCATGCCCGATCGTAGATTTTGATCCCCCCGGCCTCCCTTTTCTGGTGTAGAGTCAGACGCGTGTATGCTGGTGTTCACACTAGGGCACTCATGTAAACAAATGCCGTCATCGTTAGACCATTGACCTCCATCCCTACAATGTCGGAACGGAGCGATCTACCGAGTTTTCGCCGCCGAGGCTACGTTGCACAAGAATGAACCAGAAGAGCTGGTCATCATCCTTGTGGGGGCAACATGTCATGTGACTTTGTAGATCTCCGTCGACGTGCGCGTGTATGATGCCGTCATGGCTCGTATGAAAGAAAACAGGCACGGGGTATACAGCTACCATATGGTCGGCTGGATTTTAGATGTTGTCGTTGCGATTGAAGATTGATGTGCCTTGGTTCAACCGCCCCAACCTGTTACGGGGAGCACCTGCGTCGTCTCTCGCACCAGGTTATCTATGTAGCAGGGGGAAATGCTGGTGTGTAACTGAACTATCATAGCTGAGAAGGGATTCTGTTTTGTACACCTACTCTTTTTCGCTTCATTTATCGTTGTCGATGTAGAATCTTGTTGTCGATCACGCGCGTGGTGTAGCTCTCAGGGGATTTGACGCGTGGAGAATGCCAGGGCCTTCGCTAGACTCTTTGGCTAGGGTGTGGCGTGAGGGAAGTTCACACGGTTCCAGCGACCGAAAGAGTACATAGTCCAGCGCTTGCACGTGTTTCAGACATGGGTACAACCACATATATATGCATATGATGGGTGTATGTGTACTATTATCGACTCGCTTGCTCATCATCTGTACCTCTTGTTGTTTCGGTTCATGGGGGTGCTATTGTTGTGCACTTCCACGATCGATGATTTATCTCTTGTGACTGTTGGCAGTCTTGCTCATAGGAGACGTTTGAGTGCAGTGTCGTAGCAAACAGACAGGTAACACCCACCCACCACACGGGTATCTCCCCCTTGCTCGAAGAATGTAGCGAGAATACCCCAACTTCGTCGCATGTTCGGTCGTATTGTTGCCTGACGGAATGCCTCCACGTATGATCCATGCAGCAGGTGTGAACTTCGCGAACGCCTGTGTACGCCCTTGTGTAGGTGTCTGTAGTAGCACACACCGAGAGAACCTGGCGTCGGGTGGTCTCGAAGTTCCTTAAATAATGACAGGTCGGAAAGTGTCGCTTTCATTTTGTATGATTGAAGCGGCGAGGGAGACAAAAGAGAAGTGGCGGCCGAGGCACCGCACCGAATTTGTGTCCACTTGCAATTTCCAACGAAAATATTGAGTCTAGCTATGTAGAGGGTTTTCGAATGGGAGGATGGGGAGGGGACGGACTCAAGTAACAGTGTCGTGATTCTGGTCGAAAACGTATCACGGCGACAACGAGGGGCGTCGCGTTGTTGTTGCCCGAATGCGGCCCGAATTTCGCTAGGCCTTCTTGGCTCCGCTGTGCATATGGAGCTGCTCTGTACATGATGAGCGGGCCGCGTCAATCGCCAATGCTTGTCGTCGTAAGGAAAAGAAGAGCACTCGTCCAGCCCACACCACCGCGAGAAAAAGCACGGCGAAATAATACGATGGGGGGGGAGTCGTCGTTTTTCGGGAAGGAAGGGAAGCGGTAGCAAGCAAGCGTCGTCTCGTTGGGGAGGACGATAATTCTGGGAGGGAAATTGGTTTGTGTGTGTGTGCTGTGTGTGGGCAAATTCTTGTATGTACAACGTGTCAAGAGACGGATGGGGAGATAACTTCTGGAAGCCCCCCCGCCGCATCGCAATTCTGTTGTCTTTTTTGTTTTTTGGACGCGTTGTTGCGTGTCCCTTTTATGATACTTGTTTCATTTCGGATGTGAAACGCATTTTTTCCCGAAGAATCGCATGTTTTCGTGGAGCGAATGGAAGAAGACGTAGAGACGCACAGAGTTATTTCTTGGCGGGTCGGATGGTGTGGTGTGGGAAAGGTCGAGGACCGTGAGTTGTGGGGAGGCGTGCTGGTTCATGATGCACAGAGAGAGGGGGATGCGCCAAGACGCGATACCTGTCCATGATGCTGCCACCCACGGGCGAGGGGGGGCTGACGAGGGTATTGGCTCGGAAGTCATCGCCTATCCCGTTTTTAGACGATCAATGTGTAGCAGCTTAGTTTGTTTTTCGTCCAGTCGCACGTTCACTCCCGTCGCTTGTTCTGGTTCGTTGTTGTGCTATTGTTCGTACTGGTGATGTTTCGAGTGAGGGGCAGCAGTCGCGCTTGGGGTACACGGCAATGATGAAGGATAATAAAACTGTTTTCAGACAAGACAAGCCGGTTAGGAGGCAATAAATTGTCGCGACATTATTTTGCAGGCACCTTACGGTGATCGAGTTGTCCACAAGTTCTGCGGTTGGGCCGTCGGCCGGGGCTAATCACGCATCGATCGGTCATGTTGGTATTTCCACGCACATGACCTTTCCCATTACTTCCGTATTCCAGTAGGGTGCCAACAATTCTGTGGAAAGCCGCAAACGCCCGCACCGTTCGTTCTCTCTTGTTGAGCTGGCGTGGAACATATGGAACACCGTTTCGATCGAGTCGGGGTGGAAGTTCGCGGGCGCTTGGAAAGGCCAGCCATCACCCGTGTATCCCACGGACGTTGACACAAGTATCGGTGAAGCTAGAAGCGACGACGGTGATCGCTGCTGTTCCTGGATAGACTAACGGGCTTGTCAGATTTACTTGCGCAACACCCGGCGTCGGTCGTGGCGTCAAGGCATGTAGGTGCAGAGGATTATTAACGAAATGCCGTTTATCATCCATATGGCGCCACAATGTGTCCTCATGTCGGGTAATACGTGCGCGACCACGTGCGACTTGTTTCTGGCGAGCTCATGAGGTCCGAGCCTCGGAGGTTTGTCTTCATTGGAAATATTAGTGGGGGCAGAAACTCAATCCCCTAGAGGGCTTGAGAACACGTGCTGGCTGCCTTGTTTGGCGCCCAATTCCCCAATTGCAAAATTGGGGTTTCAGCCAGCGCAAGGACGAGAAAACCGGTAAGGTTCCTCACCACCACCGTCTCCCAACGGATCTTATTCTTCTGGAGCACAGGCAGCCTTTGCTGGATCACCATGATGCTAAAGTTGTCCGGGACATTGAATTTCAAAGACGACAAGCCTTCAAGGCCAAGCGCGATAGGAAGAGGGCGGATGACCGCGCTCTACGAGAAAGAGCGAGGGCCAAAGCAACAACGACGACGGCAGCAGCAGCAGCAGCAGCATCGGCGGCTAGAAAAAGCTCGTTCGAGACGAAACCAACAGCAGAATCGACAAGCCGCCGAGGCAAAAGCGCAATCAGCAGCGGCTACAGCTCGTTGGAGACAGAACCAGCAGCTCAATCGAGAAGCGGTGGAAGCAAAAGAGAAAGCCGAACAGGAGAATAGACAAGCAAAAGCGACATCAGCGGCGGCAACAGCTCGTTCGAGACACATCAAGAAGCAGAACCGACAAGTTGCGGAGGCAAAAGCGAAGTCGACAGCGGCCTCTGCTCGTTCCACAAAAAAACAGCAGGAAAATACACAAGCAAGGGCGAGTGCCGGGGAGGCAAAAGCGAAGTCAGCAGCGGCCTCCGGTCGTTCCAAAAAAGCCCAGCAAGAGATCAGACAAGCAAGGGCGAAAATCGCGGACGCAAAAGCGACGTCGGCAGCTGCCTCTGCTCGTTCAACAAAAGCCCAGCAGGATATCAGACAAGCTAGAGAAAAATCAGCGGCTACTACAGCTCGTTCGCAACACAACCATCAGCAGAATCAACAAGCCGCGGAAGCAAAAGCGACGTCGGCCGCGGCTAGGGCTCGATCCAGGGAGAAAGCCAGGCAGGAACAGCCCATTTCCAACACGTAAGTCTATCAAGTACTCCGGAGCAGCTGGAACGTTCATTCACTGCGTTTAGCATTGATGATCTGTCGTACTCTACTTGACGCATCAATGTCTGCGTGCTCCCTGCATCCCAGGCACTCGTACGCGCCCACAGTCACCAACCCACCTGTAATAGCTTTCGATCACCCTGAAGGAATCTTGGGCAAGATCACCCCCCGTTGACGGAAAACGTTCTCGGCACTTCGATGCTATTCAAGTCTATTGCTGACTTCCATAAGCATATGGCCGACAACATACAAAGGTGAAATTTTTTTACTTCGATTTCGACTTATTTAGTCCTCGATTGTCCTCTGTTACCCCCACCAGCAGACCATTTCATTCGACACTCGTTTCCCAAACAAATTAATTTACCCTCATTTCAACACTTATTTTCTTACATTTTTGATGCCGGCCGCATTTGTTTTCCCAGCACTTCGTGACACTTATTTCCTGAATATTTTTGCTGCCGGCTGCGTTTGTTTTCCCGGCACTTCGTGTGCCGTTTGTGACTGCCTGTGCCGACGTGTCGACATTACCATGGTATCAGCCCAGGGCATTCCTAATCATTCTATTTTGGGCGCGGCAGAATGTCTTTCAGCTCACCCGGATATTATGGCCAACTTCAACAACTACCCCGGGGACACGACAAGTTGTCTCAATGGACTTGTCTTGGCAAGAGAAGGATTTCAACTCGATCACCCTCACCATCTTCGAATCTGCAACGGTTTCCTTCGAGACTTGAAGCGCAAAACAATGCCACGCGCTGCGTTGGCAAACGGCCTTTGGGTGGGAGATTTGCCTGAAAATCTTGTTGATTTGACCTGGGTGGAGTTAGCAGCGGCTAGTCCTGTCAGGACGAGTGGGATGGTTTTCGCTTTGGAACAGCTCAAGGTAGGGTCCATACCTGGGTCCGCGCAATGAATGGTGAAAGGCACGTTCACTTTCTGCTTTCAAAATGCTTACATCATTGAAGCCGCCCTACCGTCTTGCGACTTGGACATCGCCGGGTCGATGATTTGTGCGTTGGTCGGAGCCCGACCGTCGACGGCGCAACTGAGGAAGGTTTTCGGAGCGAGACGTCGAAGAATAAGCGATCTCATGAGCTTTCAGCGAGACTCGTCTAACCGACTGGCAGGCAAACACGTCCTGTTTCACCGTGCGACCATGTCTCAAAATAACCTTGAGACTTTTCCACAAGACGGATCTGTTCCACAACAAATTTGGAAATCTCTCATTGCCACGTCTGACCCTGACAAGACACGACAGAAGGCACGGTCAACTTACGTCCCCGACAACCGCGAAACCGAAGTACCTGTTACGACTGGCGAGAGTCTTGACGTCGATGACACCGACGCTGCATTCATCATCGACAACATTGGAGTCATACCGTCGGGTGAAGACGTCTCTGAGGAGGGAAGGCCGGACCGCTTGAGGGCTCTAGGCGCAACCTTGGGTCCTCCGAACATAAGCCTTGCGGAGAGGACCGCGGCGACGGACGCAGCTGCAGCCGGACGACCTCCTCCACAACCAACTAGGAATAATATGCTTGTCATTCCCCACACCGGAAATAAATATGGTCGAGGACTTCCACGAGCCCGGAACAATGATCGCGGCGTACTTCGATCTGTTTCCGCACGCCGTTTTTTTGGCGGGCTTCCCGCAATATGTCCTTACTTACTTCTTGTCCTTTCGACGTGCGTGGTGGATGAATGAATGATGAATGGTTTCTTTTTCATTATTCCACACTCTACTACTGCTTCTGTGTTGTTACTCCTGTATGCAGTGCCGGCGTTGTTGTTCGAATAGACTACGAGAAATTCATTCACCAAAAAATGGGTCAAAATTCAGCAAAAAGACATGGGTAAAAAAAATCAATTGGGGAAGCAGCCGTGGGCACACGGCAATCTATTCCAAATAGCAACGACGTTTTGTTGCTTGCGCAAGCTGGCCGTTTGTATTCTTGCCATGTTGGCCGGATGTTCATCGTGTGCCCGATACGTCCCGACCTCCCGTTGAGTTAGAGCCTACTGGCTACGGCGTGGAACCAAAATGTCTCAAAGTACGGCCTGCCGTCGGCGACGAAGGTTGTTTGACGCTTGCGTTCCAAATCTACCATGTACCCATCGCCTTCGTCGTCTAGTCTACACCACGGCGCGCCCTTCCCTGCCCCATCACCTCCCAATCGCTGCTTGGGTCGCGAGGTCGCCGGCACGTCTTCGAGCGCAACTAACTGCACTGCTTCCTGCTTCCCGACGGACTTCCAGGGAGCTGGCCGACCGCCACGTGGCTTGCGGAGGAGATCGCGATAGCCTGCCGACGGACGATGGTACTTTCCGGCGTCGCCTTGATCGTGGGCATGGTAGAATTTCTTTGATCGTCCCGGTATATGTCTGCAGCACGACGAATGCCGCAAACATAACGGCAAACCGCAAAAAAAAAACAGAAACCAGGCAGGGTCAGTTCAGTCATACACGCGCAAGGATAAAAGTGGACTCAGGTCCGCCGAGTCAAACACACGCGGCAAGAAGAAGTCCGACCAGACAACAAAATGAAGCCTCGTGTAGTCGAGGGGTACGATACGTGTACTGTTTGTGTGTGTACACGGCAGGATACAATTCTCCGAGATCTCCGAGGGGGTTACGCAGATGAGATAGATATGGGTATGATAGACAGACTTGGTGCAGTAGGCTTTGCCTCTTCTTGCTCACGTCT